CAGTTTGCCTCAGCCTCAGCCTCAGCCTGCTTCAGCCTCAGCATCAGCCTGCTTTGAGCCTCGGCCTCAGCCTCAGCAAGCCTCAGCCTCAGCCTGCATGAGCCTCAGCCTCAGCCTCAGCCTGCCTCAGCATCAGCCTGCCTCAGCCTCAGACTCAGCCTGCCTCAGCCTCAGCCTCAGCCTGCTTCAGCCTCAGCATCAGTCTGCCGTCGGCCTCGGCCTCAGCCTCAGCCTGCCGCAGCCTCAGCCTGCATCAGCCTCAGCCTCAGCCTCAGCCTGCCTCAGCATCCGCCTGCCTCAGCCTCAGCCTCAGCCTCAGCCTGCCTCAGCCTAGCCCCAGTCTGCCTGCAGCCTCGGCCTCAGCCTCAGCCTGCCTCAGCCTGAGCCTGCCTCAGCCTCAGCCTCAGCCTCAGCCTCAGCCTCAGCCTCAGCCTCAGCCTCAGCCTCAGCCTCAGCCTGCCTCAGCCCAGCCTCAGCCTCAGCCTCAGCCTCAGCCCCCTCAGCCTCAGTCTGCCTAGCCTCGGCCTCGCCTCAGCCTGCCTCAGCCTGCATCAGCCTCAGCCTCAGCCTCAGCCTGCCTCAGCATCAGCCTGCCTCAGCCTCAGCCTCAGCCTGCCTCAGCCTCAGCCTCAGCCTGCTTCAGCCTCAGCCTCAGTCTGCCTTCAGCCTCGGCCTCAGCCTCACCTGCCTCAGCCTCAGCCTGTATGGGCCTCAGCCCCAGCCTCAGCCTGCCTCAGCATCAGCCTGCCTCGCCTCAGCCTCAGCCTGCCTCAGCCTCAGCCTGCTCAGCTCAGCCTCAGTCTGCCTTCAGCCTCGGCCTCAGCCTCAGGCTGCCTCAGCCTCAGGCTGCATCAGCCTCAGCCTCAGCCTCAGCCTGCCTCAGCCTCGGACTCAGCCTGCCTCACCCTGCCTCTGCCTCAGCCTGCCTCAGCCTCAGCCTCAGCCTGCCTCAGCCTCAGCCTCAGCCTGCTTCAGCCTCAGCCTCAGTCTGCCTTCAGCCTCGGCCTCAGCCTCAGCCTGCCTCAGTCTTAGCCTCAGCCTCAGCCTGCCTCAGACTCAACCTGCCTCAGCCTCAGACTCAGCCTGCCTCAGCCTCAGCCTCAGCCGGCTTCAGCCTCAGCCTCAGTCTGCCTTCAGCCTCGGCATCAGCCTCAGCCGGCCTCAGCCTCAGCCTGCATCAGCCTCAGCCTCAGCCTCACCCTGCCTCAGCATCAGCCTGCCTCAGCCTCAGACTCAGCCTGCCTCAACCTCAGCCTCGGCCTCAGCCTGCTTCAGCCTCAGCAACCTAACAGCGATGTGTAGGAGCATATCTGGAAGCATCCCCCTTAAGATTCAGATGAGGATCCTGTTGTCGAATTCTGCTGTTCTCGCAGTCGTAGTCGCATTCGCGATGACAGTCGCAGTGGCAGCGGCAGTCGCAGTCACAGCCTCAGCCTCAGCCTCAGCCTGCCTCAGCCTCAGCCTCAGTCTCAGCCTGCCTCAGCCTCAGCCTGCTTCAGCCTCAGCCTCAGCCTCAGCCTGCTTCAGCCTCAACATCCGTATGCCTTCAGCCTCGGCCTCAGCCTCAGCCTGCCTCAGCCTCGCCCTGCATCAGCCTCAGCCTCAGCCGCAGCCTGCCTCAGCATCAGCATGCCTCAGCCTCAGCCTCAGCCTCCGCCTGCCTCAGCCTCAGCCTGCTTCAGCCTCAGCCTCAGTCTGCCGTCGGCTTCGGCCTCAGCCTCAGCCTGCCTCAGCCTCAGCCTCAGCCTGCTTCAGCCTCAGCCTCAGTCTGCCTGCAGCCTCGGCCTCAGCCTCAGCCTGCCTCAGCCTGAACCTGCCTCAGCCTCAGCCTCAGCCTCAGCCTGCCTCAGCCTCAGCCTGCCTCAGCCTCAGCCTCAGCCTGCCTCAGCCTCAGCCTCAGCCTGCTTCAGCCTCAGCCTCAGTCTGCCTTCAGCCTCGGCCTCAGCCTCAGCCTGCCTCAGCCTCAGCCTGCATCAGCCTCAGCCTCAGCCTCAGCCTGCCTCAGCATCAGCCTGCCTCAGCCTCAGCCTCAGCCTGCCTCAGCCTCAGCCTCAGCCTGCTTCAGCCTCAGCCTCAGTCTGCCTTCAGCCTCGGCCTCAGCCTCAGCCTGCCTCAGCCTCAGCCTGCATCAGCCTCAGCCTCAGCCTCAGCCTCAGCCTCAGCCTCAGCCTGCCTCAGCCTCAGCCTCAGCCTGCCAGCCTCAGCCTCAGTCCCTCAGCCTCGGCCTCAGCCTCCTGCCTCAGCCTCAGCCTGCATCAGCCTCAGCCTCAGCCTGCCTCAGCCCTGCCTCAGCCTCAGCCTCAGCCTGCCTCAGCCTCAGCCTCAGCCTGCTTCAGCCTCAGCCTCAGTCTGCCTTCAGCCTCGGCCTCAGCCTCAGCCTGCCTCAGCCTCAGCCTCAGCCTCAGCCTCAGCCTCAGCCTGCCTCAGCATCAGCCTGCCTCAGCCTCAGCCTCAGCCTGCCTCAGCCTCAGCCTCAGCCTGCTTCAGCCTCAGCCTCAGTCTGCCTTCAGCCTCGGCCTCAGCCTCAGCCTGCCTCAGCCTCAGCCTGCATCAGCCTCAGCCTCAGCCTCAGCCTGCCTCAGCATCAGCCTGCCTCAGGCTCAGCCTCAGCCTGCCTCAGCCTCAGCCTCAGCCTGCTTCAGCCTCAGCCTCAGTCTGCCTTCAGCCTCGGCCTCATCCTCAGCGTGCCTCAGCCTCAGCCTGCATCAGCCTCAGCCTCAGCCTCAGCCTGCCTCAGCATCAGCCTGCCTCAGCCTCAGCCTCAGCCTGCCTAAGCCTCAGCCTCAGCCTGCTTCAGCCTGCCTCAGCCTCAGCCTGCCTCAGCTTCAGCATCAGCCTGCCTCAGCATTCAAAATGTGTCCCGGGAATGGAGTTTTGGGAACTCGAAGAACACGAAGTGGCTTACAGTTGGCTCCGGGCTTTCAAAATCATAGCCAGGAATGGAGTTCTGAGAACTCGAAGTCCACGAAGTGGCCTACAGTTGGCTCCGGGCATTCAAAATGTGGCCCGGGAGTGGAGTTCTGGGAACTCGAAGAGCACTAATTGGCCTACAGTTGGCTCCGGGCATTCAAAATATGGCCCGGGAATGGAGTTCTGGGAACTCGAAGACCACGAAGTGGCCTACAGTTGGCTCCGGGCATTCAGAATGTGGCCCGGGAATGGAGTTCTGGGACCTCGAAGACCACGAAGTGTGTAATTGTTGGCTTAAAAAAATGCCCGGCACCCTCCCCCGGATCGCGCTCAGACCCCCCTGGGGCGTCATGATGCTTTCTTTTGACCCTACTAGAAACCTATCAGTTTTCGCTGTTAAGTGAAAAGTAACTCCACCAGCCCATCCAGAGGCGATGCCAAGAGGAGTTGCCTCGACCAGGGAAGTGGGCAGCACGCAGAGGAAGGGTCCGTCTTGGAGCGCTTTTGGCACACTCTTGGGCGCTCTTGGGGCCGTATTGGGGCTCTGTTGGACCTCTCTTGCGTTTTGGGGGCCTCTTGGCGGTCCCGGGGGCCTCTTGGAGCGTCCTGGGTGCCTTGGGGAGCTTCTTGGTGCCTCTTCGGGTCTCTTGGAGGCCTTTTGGAGTCTCTAAAGAAGGCTGGTGCAAAGGCGAGAGCTAGTGAGCGTTTGTCCGCGGCCGTTTGTGCTCGAGCGGCCGGCCGCCAATATATATATATATATATATATATATATATGATTGTGCCTCGTCGCGATGCGCACTACTTGCCATTCAGACCGAAAACATCTTCGTTTGACATGGCCCGTCGCTCCCGCGACGATCTCCTACTTCTGGGACTATCGTTATTAGGGTACAACAGACTTGGATATGGGCTGCGCCTTAGGCGAAGCGTAGGGTTGGGCCTCCTAGCCCCCTTCAAACTTGGTAGCGGAGCTGGCCTATGGTGGTCAGTTCTAGCTCTACTCCTCAGCATCCACGGCACAGTCTGGTGGACGACTGACATGGTGGAACATCAGGGTGCAGTGGGTTTGCGCGGAGGAATGTACGTACCGACGCACAATCGCAAGGACACTTGCAGTGCTACTTGCGTTCACGCGGAGGCCTCTTACATGAGTCATACTTCTTTGCGCTACTACACTCCTGAAATCCACCCTCTTACTCCACTTGGAAAGTTTGTTGAAGACATCATGCATGGCAACATGCGATACGGTATAGTGCCGCCTCCTCCTCCCCACGCAGGCTAACGACGACATCGCATCATAGCCCACAACCACAAACATCCGACCGCGACCTACGGGGCCATTGGATTGATATTATTATATTTGGCCTCCTATGGGTCGCTATCGGATGTGCTGTTGGGCACTTGCAGCGTAGCGGGGACGACGCGCGTACTGCCGGCCCCCAGTGGGACCCTGCTAGTCACGTACCTTTCCGCGAAGTCGTTCGCGAGGTACACGCCTGGATCAACGTGACTACAGGTCTGACAGACGAGCTGTTCAGGGGATCTCTAATCGTACGCATGTAGCACATCGGCCGCACGCGTGCTCGCTTCTTAATCTGAACGACTTCATTAATCTGCCCCGTCGCGCTTCACTTCGGTTCCAGTGGGTATCCGACTTTTGTTCACCCTCTACCTTTCTTTCTGTTTTCCCATCTCCCCATCAGCGCTCACCCCCTTCCCCCTCGCGCTACCCCCCCCTGTTCCCCTCCGCCCCCGTCCCCTCCCTTCGCCCCTGTCTCGCCCTCTCCGCCTCTCTGTCTTTCTCTGATTCTCTGCCTCCCTGTCCCTCTGTGCGCCCGCTTCTCTCCCCCCCCACCAAGCCACGTAGAGGGACGAGGAGAATCGGAGGGCGTCAAGTTTACACCCACTCCCACACCGATTCTGGCCAGGCCGACCCTGGGCCCAAGATGGATGCATGTGCCTTCCTCGCCATGCCAGGAGGGCACATGCACCCACCGTGGGCCAAGGCTGGGCCTGGCCAGGATCGGTGCAGGTACATCGTTGGCGTCCTCCGAGGGAAGGATGCGGCGGAGGCAGGAAGCATCTGCCAGGACTGGCTTGTCAAACCGATGGTGAAGGACTTCTGCGAAAGTGCCGCGCCTGGCTTCATCAACAAGGCCCCTCGGGCCTGGCTCCCACGACGCTGTCACCAGGCTGCTCTCGACGAGTGGGACGCGGAGCGAGGGAGCCGAGAGGGGAGGGAAGGGCGACGGAACTGGACGAAGGGAGGGGCAGGTGGGGAGAATGGGGACAGGAAAGAAGCGGGAAAAGCGGGCGACGAGGAAGGACGGGGCTGGATGGCTGAAGGGAGGGAGGGGGGGAAGATTGGGGAGGAAAAGAGAGGGAGGGCCGGGCGGAGAGGGGGCAGGAGGGAGGAGGAAAGCGTGGGGAGGGAGGGGGGAGGATGGAGGTGGGGAGGGAGGGGGTTAGGCGAGGGAGGGGGATGGAGGGCGGGAGGGGAAGGGAGGGACGGGGGAGGGAGGTTGTTCAAGGCATCGAGGTGGCTCAAGCATCGAGGAATCGAGGTAAGGAGGCGGCTTGAGCGCTCATCGGCGACCGTTGCCAGGGCATGCCGTCAGTTTGGTAAATCGTGGCGGGTCCCTGCTCTCTGCCGCTGCGTGCCTCGACGAGGTCCGGCCCTCAGGAGATCTGGGCGCGGTTGCAGGCTGTTTGGAGCAGTGCGAGATGGACGCTCGGTCGACAAGTTCTACGGCGCCAGGGGCCAATACAAGTACTCAAGTTCTGTGAGACGGCTTCATGGGGAGGAAGGCGAAGAGCACTTGTCGCGGCCAGCCGGACTCTTCGCGCAGCGCTCATGGGACGGAGAGTGTTGCAAACTCCAACTCGTTCTCGATGGAGGTGAAGAGTTATTCGGCCTCGAAATCGGATGGGTGGCCAATGCGTGCAAATTGAAGCTCGGCTTGGGGAGATGAAGTCGGAGTTGCACGGGACGGACGCCCGAATCGCGAAATTGGCACGACAGCGTGATGTTGCCAGGCCCGATAGTATATGCTGGCGCGTTGGCAAGCGCTGTCGGAGAAGTGCCACGCAGGGTTGGACATGGATGACGACGACCACGAGAGTTTTAGCGGTGAGAGCAGTAGCAGTTCAGCGCTGTCCTCAGAGGGCTCTCAGGACAGCGGCGTTCTGGTCGGCAATCGGCCGGTTGACCAGAAACTGCTGTGCCATGCAGTGGGGGCGGCGTGGTGAATGATCGGGCAGGCCATGACGGCGAGAGCGAGGATGGCCTCGCCAGCTAGAAGACTGTTGCGGCACTCCATACGCAGCCCTAGGCTCCGAAGCTGCTATCTAGCATGCCTGCTTCAGCAGGCTGTCGCGGCTGAAGGTATCGAAGACGCCTACGGCGAATCACCGCCGCCCCCTGCCTTTGTGGAAGCGCCTATGTGGCCGAACGTTGAGGGCAGACCTGCCAAGCTATCGGACCATGTGTTCCCCGAATCGGTTTGGAAAGCCTTCGGGGAACACGTGGGCATCTTGAAGGTCATCTTGGCTGTCTTGGAGGCCTCTTGGGCGATCTTTCGGCGATCTTTTGGGGGCTCTTGGGCCGTCTCCGGCCGTCGGAAGGCCGAAAAGAAGGAAATGTCAAAATCCGTCAAAAACCTTAGGAACATCCATGTTTTTGGCCTCTTCTGGCCTTCCTGGAGGCCCTCCTGGGGGCCTCTTGGGCCCTTTTGGGCCAGCTTCGAGCCACCTTCGGCCATCTAAGGTGGGTTCCTGGCACGTCTGACGCCGTCGGGAGCCGTCTTGGGACCTTTCGGGGCCAACGGGGGACCCTCTTGGGGCGCTTCGGGGCCGTCTTGGAGGCCATCTTGGGCGTCTTGGAGGCCATCTTGGGCGTGTTGGAGGCCTCTTGGGCCGTCTTGGGGCCCTCTTGGGGCCATCTTGGAGGCCACTTGGGCCGTCATGGGGCCCTCTTGGGGGCCTCTTGGGCGATCTTGGGGGCCTCTTGGGCCGTCTTGAGCCGTCGGAATGCCGAGAAGAAGCAAATTCCAAAATCCTTCAAAACCCTAAGGAAAATCAATGATTTTGGCCTCTTCGGGCCCTCCTGGAGGACCTCTTGGAGGCCTCTTGGGCCGTCTGGGAGGCCTCTGGGTGGCCTGTTGGGCCGTCTTGGGCCGTCTTGGACTCTCTTGGGCCGTCTTGGAGGCCGTCTTGGACCATCTTGGGCGGACTTGGAGGCCATTTTGGACCATCTTGGAAGCCATCTTGGGCCGTCTTGGCCATCTTGGACGCCATCTGGAGCCGTCTTGGAGGATTTTTTCTGGACTTTGTGCAATTGGAAGGGCCTCCGGGGACCCCGGCGGGACGGACCGAAACCCACTGGGAGAGTCCGCCGCCCCCTGTCGATTCACCGCAGGGGTGCCTGGCGTGCTGCATCTCTCGGTTTTGGTTTTGGTTCTTTTTCCAAAGGAACTCTCTCAGTGGGTTTCGGCCCGTCCCGCCGGGGTCCCGGGAGGCCCTTGCACGTGCACAAACTCCGGACAACATCCTCCCTGAAACGGCCGTTTCGCTCGGGACATCTTCAACAAATCGCAAAGATGGCCCAAGATGGCCTCCAAGTCCGCCCAAGATGGTCCAAGACGGCCTCCAAGACGGCCCAAGAGAGTCCAAGACGGCCCAAGAGGCCCCCCAGAGGCCTCCCAGACGGCCCAAGAGGCCTCCAAGAGGTCCTCCAGGAGGGCCCGAAGAGGCCAAAATCATTGATTTTCCGTAGGTTTTGAAGGATTTTGGAATTTGCTTCTTCTCGGCATTCCGACGGCTCAAGACGGCCCAAGAGGCCCCCAAGATAGCCCAAGAGGCCCCCAAGAGGGCCCCATGACGGCCCAAGTGGCCTCCAAGATGGCCCCAAGAGGGCCCCAAGACGGCCCAAGAGGCCTCCAAGACGCCCAAGATGGCCTCCAAGACGCCCAAGATGGCCTCCAAGACGGCCCCGAAGCGCCCCAAGAGGGTCCCCCGTTGGCCCAGAAAGCCCCCCAAGACGGCTCCTGACGGCGTGAGACGTGCCAGGAACCCACCAAGATGGCCGAAGTTGGCTCGAAGCTGGCCCAAGACGGCCCAAGAGGCCCCCAAGAGGGCCTCCAGGAAGGCCAGAAGAGGCCAAAAACATGGATGTTCCTAAGGTTTTTGACGGATGTTGGCATTTCCTTCTTTTCGGCCTTCCGACGGCCCGAGACGGCCCAAGAGCCCCCAAAAGATCGCCGAAAGATCGCCCAAGAGGCCTTCAAGACGGCCAAGATGACCTTCAAGATGCCCACGTGTTCCCCGAAGGCTTTCCAAACCGATTCGGGGAACACATGGTCCGATGGCTTGGCAGGTCTGGCCTCAACGTTCGGCCACATAGGCGTTTCCAAAAAGGCAGGGGGCGGCGGTGGTTCGCCGTAGGCGTCTTCGATTCATTTGGAAAAGGAACCAACACCAAAACCGAGAGATCCAGCACGCCAGGCACCCTTGCGATGAATCGACAGGGGGCGGCGGATCGAAGACGCCTACGGCGAATCACTGCCGCCCCCCTGCATTTTTGGAAGCGCCTATGTGGCCGAACGTTGAGGCCAGACCTGCCAAGCTATCGGACCATGTGTTCCCCGAATCGGTTTGGAAAGCCTTCGGGGAACACGTGGGCATCTTGAAGGTCATCTTGGCCGTCTGGAGGCCATTTTGACACTTTCGGGCCTTCTTGGAGGACTTCTTGGAGGGCTCTTGGGCCGTCTTGGAGGCTATCGTGAGCGTCTTGGAGACCTCTTGGGCCGTCTTGGGGGCCTCTAGGGGCCGTGTCTTGGGCATCTTGGGCGATCTTTGGGGGCACTTGGGCCGTCTCGGGCCGTCGAAAGGCAGAAAAACATCAAATGCCACAATCCTTCAAAAACCCATGGACAAATCCATGATTTTGGCCTTTTCGAGCCTTCCTGGAGGCCCTCTTGGAGGCCTCTTGGGCCGTCTTGGGCCATCTTAGGACCATGTTCGGCCGTCTCGGTGGGCTCCTGGTCCGTCTGACGCCGTCGGGAGCCGTTTGGGGGGCCTCTATGGTCTGACTTGGGGCCCTCTTGGAATGCTCCAGGGCCGTCTTGGAGACCATCTTGGGCGTCTTAAAGGCCTCCTGTGCCGTCTTGGGGGCCTCTTGGGGCCGTCTTGGGGCCCTCTTGGCCCGTTCTGGGGCCATCTTGGAGGCCTCTTGGGCGATCTTTCGGCGATCTTTGGGGGCTCGTGGGCCGTCTCGGGCCGTCGGAGGGCCGAAAAGAAGGAAATGTTAAATTCCGTCAAACATCTTAGGACAATCAAGGTTTTTGGCCTCTTCTGGCCTTCCTGGAGGCCCTCTTAAGGGCCTCTTGGGCCGTCTTGGGCCAGCTTCGAGCCAACTTCGGCCATCTTGGTGGGTTCCTGGCACGTCTCACGCCGTCAGGAGCCGTCTTGGGGGGCTTTCTGGGCCGACTTGGGGGCCCTCTTGGGGCGCCTCGGGGCCGTCTTGGAGACCATCTTGAGCGTCTTGGAGGCCATCTTGGGCGTGTTAGAGGCCTCTTGGGCTGTCTTGGGGCCCTCTTGGGGCTGTCTTGGAGGCCACTTGGTCCGTCATGGGGCCCTCTTGGGGGCCTCTTGGGCGATCTTGGGGGCCTCTTGGGCCGTCTTGAGCCGTCGGAATGCCGAGAAGAAGCAAATTCCAAAATCCTTCAAAACCCAAAGGAAAATCAATGATTTTGGCCTCTTCGGGCCCTCCTGGAGGACCTCTTGGAGGCATCTTGGGCCGTCTGGGAGGCCTCTGGGGGGCGTCTTGGGCCGTCTTGGACTCTCTTGGGCCGTCTTGGAGGCCGTCTTGGACCATCTTGGGCGGACTTGGAGGCCATCTTGGGCCATCTTCGCGATTTTTTGAGGATGTCCCGAGCGAAACGGCCCTTTCAGGCATTGACTGATGCAGTTTCCGGGTGGCCGGCGGGGCCGGAGCCCCAGGGGGAGTTCTTTTGGAAAAAAAGCCAAAACCAAAACCGAAAGGGTCCAGCACGCCAGGCACCCCTTTGCTAAAGCAAAGGGGGCGGCGGATCGAAGACGCCTACGGCGAATCACCGCCGCCCCCTGCCTTTTTGGAAACGCCGATGTGGCCGAAAGT